TCACCATCCCGCCTAGCACAATATATTAGATTGCTGGCCCTTCTCTCGCTTCTCTGTCCTTACCGAGAGTAAAAGCAATGACACCTTACTTAAATATACTTATGTTTACTTATGTTTAGTCTCAGTTAAGTAAGGTTTGTAAGGTATCATCTGCTAAAAAGCGAGAAGGTAAATAATCCTGCGAGTTGCTGGGGCCGCCCTCACCGAGAGACGGGACGGATGGGGTGATGATTTAGAGAGAGAGAGAGAGAGAGAAGGCACAGAAGTATATACTGTCATTGAGAACGTAATGGAAGCCGATAGGAGATCGATCATGCTGTCCGCACTAATGAGTCCGTATACCTTGCACTGCAATTTGTTTCCAGACTGCGGTGATTGGGTTACGTTTGGTGCTGTTGGACCCCGCATGTGGGTCAGCGGCGTCCGAAACGCTCACAAAGCAGCAGCAAATCATGCCCAAATAGTGATATTGATTCCTTTCTCTTTTTCCCTTGCGCCCGGCGCGCGCTCCGCTCCTGCGCCCTTCTCCTCCCAGGAAACGACGGCTGGTTGGTTTCTGGTCCATGATGCCAGTGGCTGAGACAGATGATGCAGCATCCCATGGGCCTGATGGACCACCGGCCCTCCTGCCCGCCGTGGCGTGGCGTAGCGCGGGGTGGCGGCGCCCCTGGCGGCCCCTGGCGCCAGCGCAGTCAGCACCCCCCATACATTGTAGTGTTGGCCACGACCTGCGAGGGGCTGGAAAAAAAAACTACTGGCCCAAAGAAGTACAGCAGCCCCAGCCGTCGAGCGTTTCAAAACCAGTGGTCAAATCAGATAAGGTCGATCCCATCGAAATTTTGAAATCCTTTTTCGAGATAATACAGACAGCTTGGCCCATCTAGGTGATAAACCGGGGCCCGCCGACCTCTTGGGAACAAGGTGCCTCTGGACGGGGGCTTGGAGGCCACTCTACGTCTTATCGCCGAGAGCAGCGAGCATTTCCCCTTCTCCTCCCTGCCTCGTGTTTTGATTCTTTCCTCTTGCTGCTTGTCTTGCCGCTGTGTTGTGCGTAAATGCATTCTGATTGATGCCCACTTCACGTGTACGTGTGTGTGAGAGAGAGAGGGGGGGGGGGAGACAGAGAGAGAGAGAGAGAGAGAGAGAGAGATGGGGTGGCCGTGATGCGCCCGTGGTGAAAGGTGCAGTCGAGTGTAATGGGC